CATACACAAGTACATATATACTTATAAATAAAGAGCTTCCAAGAGACAGAAAGACAATTTCGAGAACAATAATTTAAAAGTTAACCAAGCTAGCTGCCAAGTCTCAGCTTACTAACCTACACAAAATGAAGCTTCAAGGATACAACTCCAGAATCAAGAGAAGAAAAATTCCATGATTATGAATCCATTTTCTCTTTTGAACAATGGAATTAATGATATTGATCCCTCTACATTTGATAGAGGGGGTAAGTCAACATGAATTTTTCCTTCTGGAATGTTAGGGGTTTGAATATGTCCCCTAAACAACACTTGGTAAAGTACCACCTTATGCAATATCATCTTTCTTTCTTTTCTCTTCTTAAAACAAAAATAAGGGATACTAAGGTATCTAATACTATCAGAAGGATTGCTAAGAATTAGAGTTGGTTTTCAAATGCTAGTAGCTCTGTTAAAGCTAGAATCCTCATCTTGTGGGATCCAGGCATTCTGGACATCCAAGTGATTTTTTCATCTCCCCAACAAATTACTTGCTCTGTTAAATCACTAGATGATAATTTCAGTAGCATCTTATCAGCAGTTTATGGTTTTAATCATTCAGAAGCTAGAAAGGATTTGTGGTTGGAATTAGCTCAGATCAAGCAATCAATTGGCAATGAGGCATGGCTACTTTGTGGAGACTTCAATGTTATGGTTAGTAATAAGGAAAAACTGGGTGGTATCACGTTAACAGAAAATGATACAAAGGATTTCTGTCAATTTATTGAAGATTGTCAACTATCACATCTCAAAACTATAGGTTGTTTCTATACATGGAACAACAAGCAAGATTCAGGCTCTAGAATGTGGTGTAGCCTAGATAGAGCCTTAGTAAATGATCACTGGATTAGCAGATATAATGTAAGCCATGTGGAGTTCATGCTTCCAAGTTTTTCGGATCACTCACCTGCTCTTGTTTCAGTTTATGAAGAAAATGTTCAGGGGAAAAAACCTTTTAAATTCTTCAAAATGTTGACAAAACATGCTGATTTTCTTCCTACAGTATCAGCTATTTAGGAGTCTTCTGTGAGGGGATACAAAATGTTCTCCGTGCACTCAAAGTTGAAGAAGCTAAAGGAGTCACTAAAGGGCCTAAATAAAAGACATTTTAACAACTTAAGTGAATAGGTTCTGAGAGCAAAATCTGAAATAGAGGAGGTCCAATTGAAGTTGCAATCAGATCCTCTTAACCCCTACTCATCAGTCAAGAGAAGAGTTGCATTTCTACATAAAATAAACTCTTACCTTGTGAGCTATCTTTTTATCAGCAAAAGGCAAGGATAGCTTGGAGTATTCAAGGTGACAGGAATACAAGTTTTTTCCACGCGATTATTAAATCCAACAGACACCAAAATAGGGTGTTAACACTATATAATAGTGTTGGTGGGAAAATTTCTGATAGAGAGGAAATTGTAAATGAATTTATCTCATACTATAAGAGCTTAATGGGCTCTGCTAAACATACTTCAACTGTTGATATCAATGTTATTAGCAATGGCCCCTGCCTGATGGATAATCAAAAGAGAGAGCTTTCTATGCCAGTTACAAATGAAGAGATAAAAGCAGCAGTTTTCTCAATGCTAAACAACAAAGCCCCAGGGCCAGATGGATTCAGTGCCTCTTTCTTTAAAGCAGCATGGTCAGTTATTGGGGATGAGGTTACTTCTGCCATAAAAGAATTCTTCAGATCAGAGAAGTTGCTGGGAGCTGTAAATTTACTTATATTGCATTGATTCCAAAGATACAATGTCCTAAAACCCCTGTTGATTTCAGACCAATCTCCTGTTGTAATTGCCTCTATAAATTCATATCAAAAATTTTAGCAAACAGAATTCAATCTATTATGGGGTTTATCATAAATGAGGCTCAATGTGCATTTGTGAAGGGGAAACAAATTTCCAGTAATATCTTGCTAGCACATAAACTTGTCAAGAACTATGGAAAGAAAAATCTTTCACCCAGAGTTATGATAAACATTGACATAAGAAAGGCTTTCGACACTATCAGCTGGAATTTTCTGCATTATATGTTAAGTGGTTTGGGGTTTCCTGAAGTTTTTACAAACTAGATTATGTCCTGTATCTCCTCCCCTAAATACTCCATCTCACTAAATGGATCACTGCATAGATACTTCAATGGTGAAAGAGGCTTAAGGCAGGGGATCCTCTTTCCCCCTACCTTTTCATTATTGGTCTGGAATATTTGTCCAGGAGCATTGAACTTCTAAGGAATGATAAACAGTTTAAATACCACCCAAAGTGCAGAAAATTCAAAATCTCACACTTAGTCTTTGCTGATGACCTCCTCCTTTTTAGCAAGGGTGATTTTTATTCAGTGCAAAGGATCTACAAATGTGTTAAAAGATTTTGGTGATATATCAGGCTTGGAAGCTAACCCTTCAAAGTGTTCAATCTTCTATGGTGGGGTTCAGGAATCAGTTAAAAATGCAATTACAAATAGCTTGGGGTTCCCTGAAGGAACCTTGTCAATCAGATACCTTGGTCTGCCACTTATATGCAAGCGGTTGTCTTATCTGGACTGTAATCCATTGTTCATGAAAATTACAAGCCATTTTCAAGCACGGATGAAGAATAAAAACCTGTCATATGCAGGTAGACTGCAAATCATCAAGAGTGTGATACTGGGAGTGCAAATATTCTGGACTTCTAGCTATATCCTTCCAGCTAAAGTCCTTCACAAAATTGATGAACTCTGTAGAAATTTCCTCTGGGACAAAGTTCCTCTTGTTGCTTGGAGCAATGTATCTACGGGGAAAATCAATGGAGGTTTGGGGATTTTTTTCTGCTACTTTATGGAATAAAGCAATAGCACTAAGAACTCTTTGGTACATTCATGTCAACAAAGAGTCATTATGGATAAAATGGATCCATGACACTTACCTGAAGAATAGTGATATCTGGCAAGTGAAGGGACTCTTGGTTATGGAAGCAATTAATCAAAACTAGAGATAATGTTGTGATCTCTTTGGGAGGGGTTGAAAACCTGAAGAATCTGATTAACTCTTGCTATGTCAACTCCAAAATCCACCTCTCTGCTCTGTATGATTCTTTAAAACCAGGTCCTAAGGTGGTTTGGCATGACGTTGTTTGGGAAAAGTTAAACTATCTCAAACATTCTTTCATTATGTGGTAGGCTGTTCAAGATAAACTTCTTACACAGGATATATTGCTCAAGAAGGGGATCATCCAATCAAACCAATGCTGCTTGTGTGAAGGTGCAGGAGTTGAGAACAGAAACCATCTATTTTTTGACTGTAGCTTCTCCAATCGTGTTTGGAATGGTATTATGAAGTGGCTTAAGTTCAACTGGAGATCATCTGATTGGCATATTCTCATGAATTGGTATATTTTTAGGTTGAGGGGAAAAGGTTACAAACAGAGAATTAAGAGACTGGCACTAACTGCTACAATCTACAACATTTGGAGAGAGAGAAATGCTAGAATCTTCAATGTGGAATTCAGAAGTGTTGAGTAGCTGATCAAGATCATCAAGATTGATACCTGGACAATATCACTCAACAGTTCACTACCGGATGAAACCTGTAAATGGCTTCTCTCAATGTAGCAGAGTTCTGGTAGTTTTGACATTTTAGTTTCATTGTACATCCTTCTTTTATCTTTAGATGTTTTTTGTTTGATACCTCAGTCTGCTGAGTGACTTGATGTACATAAACGTCTACACTTTGGTGAGTGAAATAAAATTTTTCATTGACCAAAAAAAGAAAGGCTCAGCTTACTAGTAAAGGGTAGGTTAGATTATACAAGGTCTCATATTGAAGACTGACTGATGCTTTTATGTCATGAGAATAATAAATTTAAAATGTAGAGAAGTTCGGAGACGTGTTACATATAATACATGATCCCGAGAGGGGAGGATGAGATGGAGACAGAGATGGATGTTAAAAGATTGTTGAGGAGAGGAGGAAGGGGTGTTTTCGTGGTATAACAGCTATTTTTCCCACAGGCCTACATGTCGACAAGTTGATTTGGTCTTGCCAAATGAAAGGTTTGTTTCTTGTAGAGATAAAATGTCACCTCTACATTTCAAATCCGATTAATATCATGATCCATTTCATCCTACACTGTCTAAGTAGGAAGTCAATTGTGGATTTATTAGAGATTTGAGTTTCCTTTCACCAACAACCAGCTATAGGGTGTGTTCTCCTAGGTCTCTAACTAACAGTACCATCCTAGCTGCAATTAAGCGACGAAAACTGTGACACCAAAGCTGCAGTATTCATACAAGACTAGTCGAGCACGAGTCCAGAAAGGTGATACGAGGATTGCACGCTTTGATCAGGACTATTCTAGTGCACAACCAGCCTGCGTGGGCGCCGGGGCTGCAGAAGTGTGATGGTATCCGAGGATCCATTGAGTCTCATGCTTACTACATAGGACAGGATAGGAAGTCAATTGTTGCTTCATTAGAGATTCGGGTTTTTTCCTCTACCCCCCACAATCCCTGATTGTATCACATAAAGGTATCTAATAAAAATCATACATCAACAATCTCCCTAATCAAAGAAAGAATCTCCACGCCATAGCTAAGCTGATCAAATTTCTCAAGAAACATAAATAAATAAAAAAAGAAATGTTCACTGTAGACTCATTCTCATATTTAATTCCTAAAACCGACTCACTTTAAAGTTATTTATGAGAATCGATCCACTTTGAGTTTGAATTAATTACAGTACTAATTAGTAGGGGTTATTAACCCTGACTAATTAGTTGTCTAATTAGCAGCCGCAAACCTTCCCTACTCCTGACCCCGCTTGTAATTAGGCTACTAATGAGTCGGGATTAGCAACCCGACTAATTAGTACCGTAATTAACTCAAAGTGGGTCGATTCTCATAAATAAATTTAAAGTGTGTCGGTTTTAGGGATTAAATCTGGGATTGGGTCTACAGTGAAAATTTCTTCATAAAAAAAAATCAAAACTCACCGTCAATCTCGGCGAACCTCGGCACACCGTGATGCCCATTACAGACCACCACAGCCTCAAACACCTCCACCATCACCTCCCCTCCCTCTCCCCTCGCCTCCACAACCCACTCATCCTTCCTCCGGCCCATTTCAACCCGGCCCACTTCGGCCCCAAACCTCACGAGCCCAACGACCCCCGTCTCCTCCGCAAACCTCTCGATGAACCCCAACACCTCCTCGTGGGCAGGGAACAGCCTGGGGTCCACAGAACTCTCAGTGGGCCCAGGAAATGGGCGGTCGGTAAAGCCCATTAGGGGCCGAGGGAGGTTGGTTCGCAGGGACTTGTACAGGTGGGCCGGGTCGGAGTTGTAGACCCATGTGCCCCCGACCCGGTTGGATTTCTCAAAGACGGTGACGGTGTGGCTTTCTTTGAGGAGTTCGTGGGCGGTGACTAGACCCGAGACGCCGGCGCCAATGACGGCGACTTTCAGAGATCGCCGCATTTTTATTTTATTTTATTTTATTTGTTGGGGTCTTTTTGTTTTTAACAAATTGGGTAAAGGCTGGGGTCCAGATGACCGGGAAATGGGGCCCACGATAAGTGGGCTTTCGTTGAACGTATGGGCTGAATGGGACAGTAGTAGGCGTTGGGCTTTGAGGTGAAATGGAGGTATACGGCTGAATTTGGAAGTGTACGGGGCCCAAACTTTCAAGGGGGGAAAAACCGGCGCTTCTCCCTACGACCTTGTTAATTAGGGCCGGGTTATTTCCTAAAAAAATCAAGAAATAGAAATGAAAACCAAAAAAACTCAAAAAGTATAATTTTATTCATTTCCATCCTTAAATCTCAACCACAACCTCTAATAAAATATTATTTTTATCTAATAACGCATTCATCACATCTAATAAAATATTATTTTCATCCAACAACGCATCTCAACGACCTTGTTAATTAATGGAATTTGGAGTGTCCCCCAATGGCTTTTCCTTTTTTCTTTTTTTTTGGGTTTTCAAGGTATTAAAGAATCCCCCCACCCCCCCCAAAAAAAAAAAAAAAAAAAGAAAACTACACATACCTTGAACACCAAAAAAAAAGAAAAAGGAAAAAGCCAATTGGGGGACACTCCAAATTCCATTAATTAACAAAGGTCGTTGAGATGCGTTGTTGGATGAAAATAATATTTTATTAGATGTGATGAATGCGTTATTAGATAAAATAATTTTATTAGGGTTGTGGTTTGGATTTAAGGATGGAAATGAAAAGAATTATACTTTTGGTTTTTTTTGGTTTTCATTTTCTATTTCCTTGATATTTTAGAATAACCCGCCCTAATTAACCAAGTCGTAGGAGAAGCGCCGGTTTTTCCCCTTGAAAGTTTGGGCCCCGTTACACTTCCAAATAGCGTATACCTCCATTTCACCCTCAAGCAACGCCTACTTACTGTCCCATTCAGCCCATACGTTCAAGAAGCCACTTTAATCCGTGTGCCCATTTCCCGCGTCATCTGGCACCCATTTACCCACGATTTGTTAAAAAACAAAAAGACCCCACAAATAAAATAAATAAATAAAAATGCGGCGATCTCTGAAAGTCGCCCGTCATTGGCGCCGGCGTCTCGGCTAGTCCCGCCACGAACTCCTCAAAGGAAAGCCACACCGTCACGTCTTTGAGAAATCCACGGGTCGGGGGCACATGGTCTACAACTGCCCGACCGGCCACATCACAACAGCCTGTACAAAGTCCCTGCAACCAACTCCCTCGGCCCCTAATGGCTTTACCGACCGCCCATTTCTGGGCCCACTGGAGTTCTGTGGACCCCAGGCTGTTCCCTGCCACGAGGGGTGTTGGGCGTTCATCGAGAGTTTGCGGAGGAGACGGGTTCGTTGGGTCGTGAGGTTTGGCGGCCGAATGGCGGTTGAAAATGGGCCGGAGGAAGGATGATGGGTTGTGGAGCGAGGGGAGACGGAGGAGTGATGGTGGAGGTGTTTGAGGCTGTGGTGCCCTGTAATGCGCATTCACTTGTGCCGAGGTTCGCCAGAGATTGACGGTGAAGTTTTGATTTTTTTTTTTATTAAGAAATTTCCACTTAGACCCAATCCCAGATTTAATCCCTAAAACCGACACACTTAAATTATTTATAGAATCGACCCACTTTGAGTTTAATTACGGTACTAATTAGTCGGGTTGCTAATCCCGACTCATTAGTAGCCTTAATTAACAACGGGTAGGAGTAGGAAGTTTGCGGCTGCTATTAGACACTAATTAGTCAGGGTTAATAACCCCTACTAATTAGTACTGTAATTAATCAAACTCAAAAGGGCATCTCAAAATACTTTAAAGTGAGTGCGGTTTAGGAATTAATATGAGAATGAGTCTACAGTGAAACATTTCTTTTTTTATTATATTATGTTTCTTGAGAATTATCAGCTTAGTATGGCGTGGAGGTCTTTCTTGATTAACGGAGATTGTTGACTGTATGATTTTTATTAGATACCTTTATGTTACAATCAAGGGAATTGTTGGGTGGGAGAAAAACCAATACTCTAATTGAATAGCAGACAATTACTTCTACTGTCCTATGTAGTTAAGCATAGAGACTCAATGGACTCTGATACCATCACACTTTCTGCAGGCCCGGGGCCACGCAGGCTGGTTGTGCACTAGATAGTCCTGATCAAAGCGGATGCATCCTCGTATCAACCTATTCTGGCTCGTGTCGACTAGTTTGTATGAATACTGCAGCTTTGGTTCACAGTTTTCGCCTATTGCAGCTAGGGATGTACTGTTTATTAGAGACTAAGGAGAACACACCTGATAGCTGTTTCGTTGGTTGAAAGAAACCTCAAATCTCTAATAATCCACAATGAACTTCACTACTTAGACAGGTGTAGGATGAAATGATCATGATATAATCGGATTTGAATGTAGAGGTGACTTTATCTCTACAAGGGAAACAAACCTTTCATTTTGGCTAAGACCAAATCAATGCTCGAATGTAGGCCTGTGGAAAAATATGCTTATACCACGAAACCCTTCCTCCTCTCCTCAAACTTTTACATCCATCTCTGTCTCCAGTTGCTCATCCTCCCCTCTCGGGACATTTTATATATTAACACGTCTCCGAACTCTCTACTTTTTAAATTTATTTCATGACATAAAAGTCATCCAGTCCAGCTTCAATATGAGACCTTGTATAATCAACCTAACCCTTTACTCAGTAAGCTGAGCCTTTTTTTTTGGTCAATGAACATTTATTTCACTCACAAAATGTAGACGCTTTATGTACATCAAGTCACCTCAGCCAGACTGACAAACCGGCTATCAAACAAAAAAACATTAAAATAAAGAAGATGTACAATAAACTAAAATGTCAAGACTACCCAGAACTTGCTACATGAGAGAGCCATTTACAGTTTCATTTCCTTGGTACGTGAACTTTTTGAGTGAGATTGCCATGTATCAATCTTGATGATCTTATCAGCTACTCAACACTTCTGAATTCCACATGAAATTCTAGCATTTCTCTCTCTCCAAATGCTTCGTAGATGTAGCAAGTTTGCCAGTCCTTAATTCTCTGTTTGTAACCTTTTCCCCGCAACCTAAAAATATTACAATTCATTGAGAATATCCAATCAGATGATCTTCCAGTTGAACGTAAAGCCACTTCATATACCATTCCAAACACGATTGGAGAAGCTACCATCACAAGAAATACATAGTTTCTGTTCTCAACTCCTGCACCTTCACAAAGCCAGCATTGTTTGATTGATGATCCCCTTCTTGCAGCAATATTCCTTGTAAGAGTTGATCTGAACAGCCTACCACATAATGAAAGAATGGTTGGATAGTTTAACTTTTCCCCAACAACGTTCATGCCAAACCCACCTTAGGACCCCCCCCTGGTTTTAAAAGAATCATACAACGAGCAGCAGAGTGGATTTGATACATAGCAAGAGTTAATCAATCTTCGGTTTTCAAGCCCCTCCCAAAGAGATCAACAAACATTAGCTCTAGTTTTGAATTAATTGCTTCCATTAACCAAGATCCCTTCACTTGCCAATATCACTTTATTCTTCATAAATTCCAACAATACATACTGACTAACTACGTTCATGGATCCATTTTATCCATAATGACTCTTTGTTGACGATGAAATGCTACCAAAGAGCTCTTAGTGCTATTGCTTATTCCATACATGTAGCAGAAAAAAATCCCCAAACCTCCATTGATTTTCCCCGTAGATACATTGCTTCCAAGCAACAAGAGAACTCCTGTCCCAGAGAAATTTCTACAGAGTTCATCAATTTCGTGAAGGATTAGCGAGGATATAGCTAGAGTCAGAATAATTTGCACTGCCAGTATCACACTCTTTGATATTGGCAGGTCTACCTGCATATGACAGCGTTTTTTATTCTTCATCTGTGCTTGAAAATGGCTTGTAATTGTTCGATGACAATGATTACAGTCCAGATAAGCACAACCGCTTGCATATAACGTGGCAGACCAAGTATCTGAATGACAAGGTTCCTCAGGGACCCCAAGCGATTTGTAATTGCCATTGTTAAACTGATTCCTGAACCCCACCATAGCAAGATGAACACTTATGAAGACGTTAGCCTTCCAAGCCTATATATCACAAAATCTTTTAAACACATTGTAGGATTCCTTTGCACTAATAAAAAGTCACCCTTGCTAAAAAGGAGCGGCGTCATCAGCAAAGGACTAAGTGTGAATTTTGATTTTCTGCACTTTGGGTCTTGCGCCCATCCACAAGTATTTAAACTGTTATCATTCCTTAGAAGTTCAATGCCTCCTGGACATAATATTCCAGACCAATAAATGAAAAGGTAGTGGAAGAGGCATCCCCTGCCGTAAGCCTGCTTTCACCATTGAAGTATCTATGCAGTGATCATTAGGTGAGATGTATTTAGGGAGGAGATACAGACATAATCTAGTTGTAAAAACTTCAGGAAACCCCAAACCAGCTCTTAACATTAATAATGCAGAAATTCCAGGCTGATAGTGTCGAAACCTTTCTTATGTCAATGTTTATCATACTCTGGTGAATATTTTTCTTCCATATCTCTTGACAAGTTTATGTGCTAAGCAACAATTACTGGAAATTTGTTTCCCTTCACAAATGCCACATTGCAGCCTCATTTTATGATAAACCCCAAATAGATTGAATTCTGTTGCTAAAATTTTTGATATGAATTTTATAGAGCAATTACAACAGGCAGATTTGGCTCTGAATATCAACAGGGTTTTTAGACATGTATCTTTGCGAACATCAAGCAAAATAAGTAAATTACCAGCTCCCAGGCAACTGCTCTGATCTGTAAGATCTTTATCGGCAGAAGAACCTCATCCCCAATAACGGACTCATGCTGCCTTTAAAGAAAGAGCACTGACATCATCTGGCCCTGGGCTTTGTTGTTTAGCATTCGAGAAAACTGCTGCTTTTACTCTTCATTTGTAACTTGCATAGAAAGGCTCTCTCTT